AGGTACTTTAAAGTGTATAAATAAGTTACCCGGGCAATTGATTTACATCAGCCAATCAGACGAAAGTCTGTCTATGATTAGTACCTTGAACCCGGGCAACACCGGGTCCTAAGAGCTAGTTTATCATACTATTTTTGTCTTCCATATTATTATACTGATTTTCTGTAATCCCAATTTTGATCATCTCACATCTTTTAGTCAACACACAACTTATAACAGATTTCAAAATCCTATTGTAAAATATTACACAAGAGACAAGCATTTTGTCTTAACAAAGATACTTTCTTGCAATCTAGAAAATTTTAAATTATAATTTAAGTATGGTATAGTATGTTATATTATTAAATAAAAAAATTAATTAATAATAAATTGTTAATCCGATTAATGAACTATTATAAAATGAAGAAGAATCTTACTTGAGCTTTCCATTTTATAATTTATTTTTACTAGATTTGGCTTTTAGAACCTGATAGTACAATAGTAACATCTATGACATGTATCATATAAGATCTATATCTGATCAGATTTTCACGAGCCGAATTTAATAAATAATAAATGATTAGCTTAAGTTTCATTTTCTTATAGTAGAGCTCAAATGATTTCTGTACATTTCAGGTTTATACATTTAACCATTCTTTTTTATCTTAATATAAAATTATAGTCTCGCGTTATATTTTTAGCAAAAATTCTAATATGGTAATTAGTTGCACAACCAAAATTCAAAAAATCGGCCAAAGTTTATTATGAGTCACATTTCAGATCGGTTTAGATAGTCACGTTACAGATTGATCCTATGATCTAGATCGGACCAATTTAACATCCCTAGCGGTATGGTACACTATCACAGCACGTTAACATGTGAAATCATAGATTTTAACTCCCAATCACATGCAAGACTTTGCGAACTCACTCCGCGATGCAAGCATTACTACGTTCCTGGTATTTGACCATCACACTAATTTGAAAAGCACTAAATTTTTTTGTAAATTTTCGATAAACTATTTAGAATCCTCTCAACATGTGATTGAGATCTTCATTTTGATCTATCGTTGCAATTGAACATCACTACAATCATTAAAAAATCATGATAATAGCAATGTTTGAGCATATCTCAATAATATCGCCATTTATGGCAATAGCTAAAATTACGTCATAATACTTGTGCACTATTTAGATCACTATGAAATCACACACATTATTTCTCTTTTATTAGAATTTACGATAAGCAACCTGTTAACGATAAACAGATAAAAAAATTTCCGAATGACAATTTAATTCAATCTTAATTATATTTAAATATTTATTTATTTATTTTTTTCTGTCAAAGAAAATGGCTTACGTTGAAATTTTTTGTCTATTGTTTTTTGTTACATTTATAGTTCATTTGGTTAAGCGACCTCGAATAGGCACAGTAAGTATAATTTCATTTTTTAAAGTATTTTTTTTGTTTTTTTGTGTAACAAAATTTCATCTTGATAGAATGAACCACCATTAGTACCATATCGAATTCCAATTATTGGGCATGCATATAGTTTTCTATTTGACGCTGAAAATTTTCTCAAAAAGTGTAAGGAAAAGGTAAACTACAATTGTTATATTTATTCTATCTCCTTTGATTTGATGTTTTTTTTTCTAACATTGTTGTCTTTTTTATAAAGTATGGTGAAACGTTTACCTTATTCATCTTTGGAAGGGTAATAACTTTTACAGGACAAGAAGCTTCCCATGAAGTCTTGATGAATTCTAACTTTTTTGATTTTCATGCGGCATTAGATAGGGTACATATAGTGTATATGGGTCTTTGCCTTGGAAATGACCTTAAGGGACTATGTAGATTTTATGAGTAATAATTAAAATTTCTAACCTTCTAATAATAGAATTCAAATAATTTCTTTTTTATTTTGTAGAACTCACTAAGCTTTACAAATAAAAAAAAGTTTATTTAATTGGATTACTGGATAGCTAGAAATTTTAATTTTTATTCATAAAATCTACATAGTCTCGTAAAGTCATTTTCAAGGCAAAGACTCCATATAATTAGTGTTCATTTGAAACATGCATTCATTATAAATTTCTTCAATTAATTTTATAATTACAGTTATGTCCACTAAATCGTATTCTCGAAGCGTTCAAGAAAATCGGCTCAGTTGAATCTCTTAACCGAGCAATTCATGAACAGATTAATTGTAAACAAAACTTATATGCACCAAAAATACAAAAAGAACTTTTATTTGAAATTGAAAAATATTTTGGCAATTGTGAAGGTATATCTTTATTATATCTTTTATTATCTTTTATTCTTTTATTATTGCTTTAAGTTCACTATCGAAAATAAATATATAAATTTTCAGAACCCAAAGTTTTCAAAAATATTAATCGTATATTATCTCGAATAATTGCCAAATCTGTTGCTAATAGTTTGCTTGGTGAAGTAAGTTCTAATATTGCAATCTCTTATAATTTTTCATCTTTTAATATAATTTTAATTGACATTTATCATAAAGGAAGCTGCTCAATTTGATGATATTGTGGAATCATTTTCTGTAATAGAACTTGATATAAAAAAGATGGGCTTTTTTCATCCCATTTTATCATTCCTTCATTCACTTAATACAATGCTTATCAAGTACGTGCGTAACGTGATTACTTCCATTATAAGTTTATTATATAAATATATATTAATGCTTTTAATAGGTTACCAATGAAATTTAAATGGAATCCAATCAATCGACACAGAGATATTTTTGTCAAACGATGTAAACCAATTGTCGAAGAACGTGTTCGTCAGAGAAAGGAACTTTGTGAAAAATATATTCAAAAAGTATATTATCATATTTTAAAAATTTAGGCTACTTTATAGAAAAAGAATTTTGTTTAATGAATAATTCTTTAATTAACAGGATGATGTACTTGATTTCTTTTTAAGTGAACCACAGTTTAAAACAGATGTTGTGGATGATCAATATATAAATGATTTATTTGGACCAATTTATTCAATAGCATTTGGTGCAGTTAATACAACTAATAAAGCTCTTGGCCTTGCTCTGTTTGGTAATTTTAATCTTTATTTATTTTTTTTTAATTGATATACTTAATATTGAATATTAATCTTAATAATTTAGATTATGCTGGAAGACCTGAATTATGGGATGATATTTACAAAGAGCAATTAAAGATTCACAATGAATCAAATGGTATTTTAAGTATTGAAGATGTTCATAAAATGATTAAATTGGATTGTTTTATAAAAGAATCTCTTAGATATTCTTCAAATATAGGTAATCAAATTAAATCATTTAATTTTTTATTTTACTTTTTATTTTATAGATCAAAATTTTTATTCTTATATATGAATTAGCTCACTTACCACACATCATGACTGGTGATTTATTTACATTTAGTAATGGAACTACTATACCCAAAGGTATATATATGTGTATTAATTAATAATTCATGAGTGTTTTTTATATTTTTACCAGTTACATTAATCTTACTATTAAAAATGTACAGGTCGTGAGGTTTTTGTTTACCTGAGAGATTCAGCCTTTAGTGATAAGTTCTTTGGAGAAACTTCGTATGAGTTCCAACCAAAAAGGCATATAACCTCATATCCTAGTGGTAAAACTGTTCATTCACCAGCTACTAAACTACATAAATCTAATATAATTTTTGGAGGTGGTAAACATGCATGTCCTGGTAGATTTTTTGCCATTGATGTAATCAAGATATTTTTTCACAACTTGATTTTAAGATATAAAATTAGAACTGAAATTGATAAAGTTGTTCCTGCTAGAATTATATCTATTATGGTTGTCTCTCCTAATTCTGGTTTAATTTTTGAAAATCTTAATTAGTAATTTGTTCATGATAATAATTCTAAGACTTAAAATGGATTTAGGGTTGCGACCCAAACACTTTTTTTTAGTTACAGCGTTTTCTACTTAGTTTGGGTTTGGGAATTGGTATTTCTACCTAGTTCTGGTTCATCAAAATATGTATCCCATTTCAGTAAATAGTGTCAAACTCAAACTGTCAATTCATTAAATAAATATTTGGCATTTAATAGAATAATCTTTAAATTATTCAACAAATCTGACTTTTAATCATGTATATCCATG